TCTATGATACCTTGAAAATGAACAATAAATTTACATCAACAACACTTCAATAATAACAAAAAAAATAATTCAGATGACGAAAGGGTTACGTTTATATTGTTTATGTTTATATTTTGTTTTATTTATTCTAAACGATAATAATAATTGATAAATTAATCCATTTGACAAAAGAAAGAACACGAAATTGTAATAAAATAAAATTTTTTTTATATTTATTTCTTTTTGAAAGATTATTTTAGATATTAAATATGACTTTTATTGGGATGGATATTTACCTAATTTATTTAAAAATTAGTGTAACTGTGTAACTGTCTCATGATATGAGAAGCGGGTGACAACGGGATACAGCGCGTAGACATATATAGTCCTTCGCTAACGCTTCGGACTAATGAATCAAAAATCTTATTTTTTGTTGAAAGGTTCCTATATCCATTTTTAATAGCATGGCTTTCATATGTTAGCAGAAAAAGAAAATGCAAAAACATATTTTAATTTAATAGCAAATATTTAATTCTTTTTGTACTTCTGGTGGATTACATGCTACTCAAATTGCATTAATAAATTTTGAAAATATATCAATTGAAAAACTTGATTTACCATCAGAATTATCATTAAAAGAACATTTATAATCTTATTAATTTAGCTTTTTATCTCATAATGGATATAATGAAAGTAATAAGAATAATCCTTTAAATATGAAAATAGAATTAATACATCAACTTTATAAAGAACTTTTAGATTATGATTTAAAAAATTATTAAAACTATTAGACAAAGATGATTATATAAATTAAAGATAGCAAAACAATATTTTAAATGACGTTTAGTTCATATTCAATTTACTCAATGATTTATAAAAAAACTATATATTATTTAAAAAACACCACAAAACTATATTGAAAAATGGAAAATATTTTATTCATAGTAAACTTAATCTTCAATCGCAATGTATTGTTAAATTTGAAGAGAAGTTTTTTAAACCTATTTATGAATTTCTTATTAGTTATGATACAATACCACGAATTTATAATTCAGATGATATTTTAACTCTTCCACCTCTTCCACCTGATAATGATGCTCATGAAATGCTTGATCAAGTAATAATTTGGATAGCTAAACTTCAAAATATTGCAAATAATATATTGTAATAAATTAAAAAGTTATCTTACATGATTTTTACCTTGACACAAAATCCATCCAATCAGCTAAAATTAGCAGATCTTCAAAATCTATCCAATTAACCAAAACTGGCAGATCTGTGGAAAATGCCAAATCTGCCAAATCTGCCATTTATGGCAGATTGACTATATCTACCATTTATGTAATATATGTCAGGCAGTGATGTCCATTTCCTATGTCCCAAGCATTTGCTGTCCCAGTTATATGTCCCAACTATATGTCCCAACTATATCTCATATATGTCTTAAATGTCACACCTGTCCTATCAGTGTCCTATCAGTGTCCTAACTATGTTCCATGACAACACTGATGTCGGGTATACGATGAAAGACCAATTATTACATTTCTTATTTTTATTTATATTTTATTATTATTATTTTATTTCTTATAAA